GCAGTAACTTGAGGAAGCAGGTCTCAGAGGTGTCATCGTGTCTCAGGCAGTGGTTGATTATAGACATCACCCAGGTGTGTAACGGTGTCAGCATAGACTGTTTTAAATACGAAACCAATTCTAAGCGTACGGTGCTGTGAAATATTCTCTGTAGTGACAGACAAGTAGTATGCCGTTGGCACTTTTGGAAAAAGGACTGAAATTTAAGGGCCAGTGGTGGGTGTTCTAGCTGTTTGCAAGTGAATATAAAATTGCTGTTAAGTTGTTTTTTTGTTGTTGTTTTCTGCAGCAACCTGGTTTATTACCCGTCCTAGCATTATGAGACTGGTTCCAGTGTGTTTGGATTACTGTATTTAACAAGGCTCCATGTAACAGAGTACTATATATAAATTGTGATCCTTGGGTCAGATGTTAATCTAATGAAGAATTTGTACCTTCAATGAGCTGGTCGTTCTTCACAGTAAACACTTTGTTATGGGCAAACGATCTCATCTGCATATTGGTCAAAAACGGATTGAACTTCAATCTGACAAATTACGTGAAAGAGGTCTTGACGTGAACATCTTGTTGCGTTTTCTAAGTTTTGACCAGTATTTTAATTACTAGGTATATTACCTGTGAGGGATTGTGTCATCCTATTTTGCCGTACTGTTACTGGTCAATCAGCCTTTTCTGTAAAGGCTGCTGATCAGTGGAGCGCACGCCTGATGACGTGAGGAGCTGCAGCTCTTTAAGAGTTTTCAAATCGAACTTGGAAAAAATGTTAAAACCTGCTCAGGTATGTAAACATTAATTGTAAGACTGTGTGTGCCAATCACTGAGTGTGTACGTGTGTTTGTGACTTGAAAGCAATTTATAGTGTTATCTTTTCTGTCATTTTTATTGCATTGTACATCCATTTTTTACTTGTCAAAGGGCTGCAGGTGCGAATTAGCTTTTGCTATAATCTGGTGCAGTGCATCAAAAGGTGACATTATGTTTGAGTTGTACAATAATAATAATAATGTGTTATGTATTGTCATCACTGTATGTTCCCATACAATGGCAAAATTGGCTCTGCTTTTAACCCATCCACCACCAGGTGGAGCAGTGGGCAGCTATGGAAAGCACCCGGGGAGCAACTGGGGATAAGGTGTCCTGCTCAGACACCACCTCAGAGATGTGCAATGACCGGGGATCGGTCCCGAGTCGGCTGTCATGCCCCACACCATATTGTCCCTTTTTAAATAAAGTTCATTTGTAAATTAATAATAATTATAATACTTATAGTAAAGGGAAATTATGCCTCTTTTTGATAACTTGAGCACTGTAAAGAACCTATTTGCATTACTGTTTTGCGTGGGTTCAAGTGTTGTCGCATACACAGGCATTATGAAATCTTGTATCGTTAGACTGTTTTGTTACATGTTAATAGAAATATGAATAGATTTTTGTATATAGCTCATAAACATATCAAAGTTTTGTTTAGTGTAACAAGATCGCATTTGTTTTATTGAATTTCTGCAACCTGTGGTTTATCGGTTCGTGTCCATTATGTGGTTGAGGTGACAAAGGCTCTTTCATTAAACAGTTCTGCAAAATGGTTGCACGCACCAGTCCGTCTTTAAGACCCTCTATCCATTCACAAATCACAGATGAAGACGGCCACTTCCTGCACGGATGTGCGTTTTCAGAAATGAAGGGGGCAGTGCAAAACCAAAAGAGGCATGGAGCAGAACTCAGCTGCGTGGTTGAGGAGCATTCACAAAACATGATCCGTGTTCTTCCATAACAAGCTGGGCGCCCCGCCCTGCCAGCACAACCGAGTGCCCTGCAAGACGGCACCCACGTAGCACTACGTCAGATGTAGCCCCCCCCCCCACTAGAAAACTGTCAGTACAAACTGCACATGCAACACAGGTGTGTCTCCGTACCCCCCCCCCCCCCCCCCCCCCGGGAACCTTTAAAAAAAAAAAAAAATCTGTATCGTACCGGTGTCGGTTCTTGGACGGTTCTTTTTTCAGTGCCAATTTTATGATTGACATCAATTCTAACAAGAAGAAAATTACGTTACACATTGTAGTACAAATATTGAGTTTTATTTTTTTACTTTGGTATTTTTCCATTCCAAGCAGTTTTCTTACATAAAAACAAATAATTTCCAGGTCAAAAGACCAGTTTCAAACCAGTGACACGTCGGTGTCTAATGCTCACTGCTACACACTGAGGACCTTTCACTGAGCAATCCATACACGGACCGACGCAGTTCGGTTGGTGTCATAAAAGAACCTCGGTTCAGTATACAGCCCTCGTGTCGGCAAGGCTTGTCATGATAAACCATAAATCAGTTGATCACATGATAAACGAAAATTATCAACCTCGTTTTCATTTATCAGCTTTATCGTTTCTTCGTCTCTTTTTTTCTACGGAAGACACCAGATGACAAAAGGATCAACTCCGGTGTTCTTCGCTGACCCCTCCCTTTCTCTTTTCTCTTGAAAATCTGTTTCAGTCGTCCAAAATCACGTTTTTGGATCGTTAAAAGTAGCTAAGCTGAGAAGCTAAGCTAACAGGACGACCTCGGGGAAAAAACCTCCGTCTTGTCGAAGCTCCAAAATTCACGGTTGAAACCCGTGCCTTGGTGTAAAAAGTTGTTTTTCTCTGCAAAAAGAAGCTGAGAACCTGTTAAATGATTTTTTTAATTAAAAGCTTTGTGTGAAAAATGCTAAAGAGCTCAAACCACACTGAGCATCCACCATTTTGAGAACTGGTAAAAAGGGAGAGACAGACGGCCCATGTCACGTCGAGGGGCCTCCCTCCCATTTTTTTTTTTTTTTTAAAGACGCTGCTTGCTGCCTCACTATCCATCCTTCGGTTCAAACAGTCTTATACTGCCACCCAGTGGTCAAAAAAGGTACTGCACTCAAAACAAATTAACAAACATTTCTGCTTAAATTTGACAATAATTACTAATTATTGTCAAATTTCAAACAATATTATCGTTTATCGCAATAATTTGAGACCATCGCCCAGCAACATTTTTTCTCATGACAGGCCTAGCCCTACGAAGGCACGTAAACCAGGGGAAACACTGATGATGAAACAACTCACTTTAGTGCTCCTTTGTGGTTTTCTAATTTTTTTTAACTAACTACAAAAGTTGCTTTGCGTCATCGTCGCTTCCGTAATATGCCGTTGTTGTAATTAATCCCGTGAGCGGGTGGTCAAACACTATTGTCATAAGTTCATCACATTATTGAGATGAGGCTTTTTCACGTTGACCGCTCGACTCTTACTGTTTTTCTTGGCGGCACAAGGCGCATCGGAGGTGGACTGTCTTTGACCACCCTCGCCGCCTCGGTCCGTTCAGAAGACACACACGGGCAGAGCGCAAGGACTCGGTCTCACTAAAATATCATCTTCAGACTAACGGGACAATCATATCCTAGCTGGCACCATCCTGGCTAGCTTTGACTCATCTGCAGACTTCAGGTTTAACTTTAGTCATTTATTTTCATAAATCTTAACTTTGTCTCAGCCCCCTTTTTAATTTCTTCAAACCCAGAGAGGACATCCATATCGATCATTAGATTTCTAACACATGTCCTTTTTCATTTATGAAACTGTTACTCAAACATCTTTGAGGTGCTACTAAAGGTTAAGAAGCGCTCTTGTGCATCAAAACCATTCCTCTGTTTTCTTGAGCTGCTTCTCTGTGCAGAGCACGTCACATTGTTCCAGTAGTTCAAGTAAAAATCATTGTTTTCCCTCGTGACTAATAAACTACCTGTTCTATTCTATGTAATACAAAAACAGTGTCAGCAAACAACCATGAAACAAGACTTGCTTAAATAAGTTTGTTACTTTGGAGACGTGGGGGGGTTTAACCTCATTTTGGATGGTCTTCTGGTCTTCTTTTGTCACGATGGAGTTAAAGGTCTTTCAAGGGTTTTGTGTGGGAGTGGTTCTGAAACCTGATGCAGTTCTTCTCAGCTAGCTGCAGAGGTCTCAGCCTGACAACAAGCGGCAGAGCTGACCGCCATTTTGAGTTTGTGCACCAAATCCAGAGCCGGTTATTGAGGCCGCGGGGTGGGGGAGGGGACGGGGTGCTCTGCGCAGTGTGCAATAACATTGGAATGTGAAGTGAAATGATGTCGCTCTTTACGCTGCTCCACCTATTTATGCTGACATTTCTCTTGTTTAGGTTTAGAAACTGTTGATTAAAAATGCCTCATTTTTACTGCAAGAAGTGTTTGATGAGAGAGCAGTGCAGCTTCGGTCCAGACTTGAGCGTGCGCGCCAGCAGTACAAACATGGGTTAGTCCAGATTAGGCTTTGTATTTTTCCACTGAGTTTCAAAAGACAGACCTGGTCAAGTTTGTCTGAACTGTCACATGACTGTGAAGCTAACCAGCTTATTCCTGTCACCAGAACACTGAATGAATTTTATTTTTGTGCCTTCTGCTGCAGACAGCGCTTCTCTACTCCGTGGTTTTCAGTTCACTTCGTCACCGTTAGCTGGTACTTGTCTGAATGTAGCCTACGACTCAACATGTTTCGACCTCATGAAAATTAAACATGGATATCATCAGTATTTCATCACTGCTGTCTTAAATTGTCCAAACTATGTTGAATAAAGATACTGAACCATATTTACCAAAATAAGAAGGTACTCTGCGTCCTGACATGTTTTTACAGAGCAGCTAAAAAAAATTCTGCTTCTTAAGAGAAAACGTTGAAGCATTGCTGTAGAAACATTTACATGCATCATCTGCAAATACTAGTTGGAAACATAAAAATCCTATATATCATTTGGGAAGTTGTTACGTTTGTGATACTAAATGTATTTAGAATTAGTTGAAAACTCTTAAAGTGTCTGTCGATGCAGACCTACAGGCTTGTGTCGGCCTCAGAGCTGGACATGGACTGTTTCATTCATAAAGCTGAGTTCGGGCTAACTGTACTAGCAACATAGTTGTAAAATTAACTAATATTAACAACCTTTTTTTTTCATTCCTCAGGTTTCTGACAAATCTTGCAACAAGTTCATGACCAAGACTCTCTCGTCTTAAGGTAGGACACAGTGAAGACGTTAACTTGTGAAATTCCAACATTGTTTTGTTGCTGAGTGAAAATGTTCCACCTTGACACCTACAAACACTGAAGACCATCTCACACACTCATGTTTAGGGAATGAGCTCAAATAGCATCAAATATATCAAAGTGTAAGAACTAGCCTCATGTCCACAGTATGAGAACCAAACGGTGTACGAAAGTCCTTCATGTTTTGCATAACCTCTCTGCTGCTGGGAGCGCTGGCCCAGTTAGTCGGCTTTGATTCGCTCTCTGCTCAGCCAATTGGTGAACGGGGGGATGGGAGGAAGGCTGGGTTACTGCCGTTGTTAACTCGGTCTCCTTTCTTCTGCTCTCTGGATCCAGACTTAGGTAAACAGGAAATCCATGGGTCAGTCAGGTTTTAGGTTCTAATGGCACATCTAGACTTTTAGCCTCCATGAAAAAGTCTTTTTAATGAGGTGCACCTTGACTCTTGTCACTGTAGGACAGTTTCAGCTGTAGGGGTCATATGGTAAGGATCTGGCTGGTTTAGCTTGGCCACAACAAATGGTGCAAAGAATAGCTTAGTTTGGGAAGCGACTAGTTTAGAGTAAAAACATTGCAAGAACCTTCTAGAAAAGAACAAACAAGACTGCACCAGAGCTCTACAGCGACCTCTAGTGTCCTGTAGGTGCTTGTGCAGCTGATTCTGAATTCAAGCGCAACGATCTCGACTGACGTATTGGTGGAGCGTACTGTGTATTTTTATAGGACTAGGTCTCGACTAGCCTCGTGCACTTAATCTGTCCTTGTCCCCCTGCAGAAAGCCATGGAAGTTGTGGTAACAGAAGAGAAAAAGAAGATCTTCCGTGCCAGGAAAACCATGAAGATGAGTGATCGTCTGCAACTGGAAACCCTTCACAGCACTTTACCGACGGCTCCAGGTTTGTCCAACCCGTCTCCGCCGCCACTAGTGAACGGCACGCATAAAGAGGATGGACAGAAAGAAGCCGATAAAGAGCAAAACAACACGTCTGATCAGAACTCCCCTCACACCGTGTCGCCTTCCACTCCAACACCGACAAACTCTCCTGCACCATTCCTGTCGCTAAATTTATCACCTTCCACCGCCTCTTCACAAAGTCCCAACCACCAGGAAGAAACTTCTTCTCCGACTTCACCATTCCATTCTGAATTTCCTGATGTGAAAAAGACGAAGGAGGTGGAAAAGAAAAGTTCCTCTCCGCCCCCGTCAGATGAGTCTCTTACTCCAGTGTCAAGTGAATCAGATGTTCCCCTGGTGGAGGGAACGGGGGTTCAGGTCTGTTTTTGTTTTTTTAGGTACACGTATGTAATCAAGTTTGTTTCTTTCAGAACTACACACGATGTTTGAATGTGAACAGAATATGTTGAGTTAATTTTCTATTTGCGTTCCTCATCAGGAGACGGTGACCCCGATGGAGGAGCCAGCTGAGGATTCAGGAAAAGACTCTGTGCAAGATGTGGTTTTCTGTTCGTCTGAAGTTTCTGACTGTATCGAACCCATGGACACAGAAAGCAACACTACAAACACCAATGACTCTGAGGCCTCCACATCTGCAGTGCAAGACGAAAAACCTTCTTCTCCTCTTGTCGTGGCTTCCCAGTCTTCCATTTGTTCCTCGATATCTCCTCCAGCTTCTGGCAGAGATCTGAAACAAGCAGAGGAAATCAAAGAAGATGACCTAAAAGAAGAAAAGGACGACAAAGCCAGTGTGGAGCCGGGTGCAAAATGTGATATAATCATGGAGCTGGGCCAAATAAAATCAGAACTCATGAAGGAAATTAAGAAAAGTGGAGAAACTACAAAACCAACCCGACCGTCATCCACTCCACCTTCTAATGCAGGTACAGCAGACACGTTGCATTTCATATCTACAAAGCAGTTTCTTTGTAAAGGCACAGTGTTCTGAAGTAAAAACATGAAAAGCAATCGTGGGCTGCATAGTAGCTTAATCAGATTTCCCTTAAATAATAAAAAACTTGCACAGCTTAGAATGTTTGGACTTCTAAACTTTACTGAAATCCTCAGACGTATACATTCTGGGACACAACAAGGGAGCTGAGCTTTCTGTACTTCACTCACAGATAAAGAGGAGAAGATCTCATCATCAGGACTGAAGCGCACTTTATCAGAGGGGAACGAAAGTGATGAAGTCGCTGTGAAGAAGGAGGGCAAGAGGCCCAAGGTGGAGCACGAGGAGCTGGAAGCTCAGCTGGAACTGAAGATCACTGCCAAAGCTGGCAGCAAGCATAAACTGGAACAGGTTTGTCCTGACGCACAAGAGCACGTGGCTGTGCACCCACTGAATCTCCTGTTTACGCTTTTACTTCCCCCGTCTTTAGATTGTTCAACAAATCGTCAATGAGCAGTTAAAGATCCTGGAGCAGACACTTTTTAACAAAAACTTTCAAGAGCTCAAGGACAGAGTCGACCAGATTGACTGTGCCAATAAGCATCAAGCAGCCATTACCACGCTGCAGGTACGTGCACGCTGCTGCTGTTCCACGTGGACAACGTTTGTGACATCGTTCAAAATGGCCACTGACAAACTGCACCTCTTCTTCCTTTTAGACCAAGATTTCTCGACTAGCCAAGAAGTTTGGAGAGGCTAATCAGGCATCGGAAAACAAAAAGAAAGAAGAGGTAAGATCTGTTTTCTTACTTTAACTCCTTGTTTCAAACTTTTCACAATGTATTTTAGTTGTTTCACCAAACACTCCTAATAAACATTCAGAACGGATTCAACTTCCTTCACTTTAGCCTGATGCTACAGTAGTTACAAAGGTTTTTTATTAGTAGTCTACATTTAGTACCACATAATGCCCAAGTATTGTGCATTTATTTTAAAATGAAACAAATGGACTTGTGCACAAGTGTTTAGATCCCAGGATTTAGTCGATCTACCTTTGGCAGCAATTACAATCTTTTGGGTTTGATGAACACGCCTGTTCATTTTTAATTTTTTCCCCATTATTTGTCAATTCTCAAGCTCATTCTGATTATCATTATGTAATGTGCCTTTGATGTGGATCAGATTTCATGATCTTGTCTGTAGTTGGAGAAAACAAAGAGAAGTTTATGATCATTCAGACATTTTCATCAGTGATCAGAGTTCAAACAGTCGGCCTTCACCAACACGTCACCGAACAGAGTCGATGCTGGAGATGACTCCAGCTTCCTCCTCCGAGCCGCTAGCCTCCTGCGCTAAGAGTTGGTGAGAAGGCTGACTACAGGGTACGGAGTAGCTTCATGGGACAAAAGAAAGAAATGAAAGTATTTTATTAGTGTACGGCGGCAGCACAAAACACGGTGCATTACCACCACCTTGTGCTGGTACTAGCAGCTCGTAGCTACTAGGTGCTCGTGTGACAAATGGGGGTTGAACGAGTATATAATTTTAAACTCGACATTAACATAATAAAACGAGTAGAACTCGAGTATTTGATGACGTCATAGATCTCAAGATACAAAAATAAATAAATAAATAAAACAGCAAAAAAAGATAATTATTTACAAAAAAAAAGACCAACAAAACATTGGGAGCGTATATTATGCTCCTCCCATTTATCATTCTGCAAATGAGTCACAGGAAAAACTAAACTATTAGTTTTTATTATTAAACTGCAAACGTGAAGAAACGCAGCACATCAGAAACGAAACTTAAACAGAAACTGGTTCTGGTTCGGACCCGGTGTTACACCAAACTCTGTGACCTGCAACAGTGCAGCACCGCCCCCTACGGTCACACGGTGGTCACGTAATATGACGTCACTACGGACGCTCGACGTTACATTTTTAACCTCGATAGACGTCCTAGCAGTCGATGTGTAGATTACTGGAGTACTCTGTTAATGTCCTAGTGACAAACGATGGCCACTTGTCAAAATGACATTTTCATTTGTATACTTGTCGCTCCCCATCTATATTTTGCACCTTATATGTAAGATTGTTCTAAAAGCTTGCTGTTGAATTTTTCTAGGCCCTTGCTGCTGCTGCTGCTGCTGCTGCTGCTGCTGCTGCTGCTAAGGCTGCAACAGTTACCAACAACCCCCAAGCTCAGCGGTAAGTCCGTCTACACCAAAGCAGTTTCCTTCCTAGATCCTATTCATGGTGTCTATAAAGTATTAGCTTCCAAAGATTACCATAAAGCTACTTTGATTTATTGAGGTGATTTTGTTCGCAGTGTATTTTTTAGATGTAATTCTTATTTAGTACAGCAGTTGTGTTCAAGAATCTGTCCAGATGACCTGACTTAGCTTTTATGGATTTGTTTACCTGAATGATTGAGCATGCATCAGGACATGTGTTCAATGATGTTTTGTGTGAATATAATTTGGCTTTTGTATGAACGTGACAATACCGGACTGAAGCCAGTAGCACACACAAGACTGTTCACAGCGCCAAGAGGTGACATTGTCCCAGCTTGCTAACTTTAATTAGAAACTGAACCAAAACTAATGGACAAAATAAAGAATCTTCCAAATCTCAACAGTTCTATCTATATACCATGGTCGGTTTGTCAGGATCACCTTTTTAAAACTCTTAATTTCACAATATTTCTTAAGTCTGTTTGGAACAAACAAACACACACTACCAGTGTTTTGTATCTCAAAGTACCCCGTATGGGTCCAGGTCCTGAGTCTTGTGACGTTCTACAATGTGAAGCCTGAGCGATTCTTCAGGCAGTGCAGAGTGTAGTTAAACCTGCACCTCTCCTCCCAACAGCGTTTTCCTTGGGCAGACAGTAGATCTGCAGCCTGAGGCGCCAAGAGAGGGAATGGCGCGCCCTCTCGGTAAGACTCCTGCACTGCCTCTCAAGAAGGAAAAAGAAGCAGAAGAGGAAATGGGAATGGAGATAGATATGTCACGCCATATTGCCATGGCAAAAAAGCTGGCAGAATACAGTGAAGGAAGATGCCGACCTGATATTAAACTCCGCAGAATTTCTTCCCGATTGGAGAGTGTGCTATACTACAACTGTAAGCGAGGCTCAGAGATCCCCAGGCCTGAGCGCTACGCCTCTTACTTATTCCGCTACTTAGTTCCTTATGACATCTACTGTGACTGGGTTGCAAAGGTCAATTATGTTGGATTAATGGGCAAGGAGGCACTGCCCAAGAACGTGAGGAGGACAATAAAGAGGTTCATAGAGCATCGCTTTCCCTTACTGCCTATTGAAAAATGGAGGGAGATTCGTGACGCTATCAATGAATTACTCAGAGTCAAGAGAAAACCGGAATTTTTTCGAGAATACGATGAAAGGATCCCTTTGCCATTTTGACACTTTTTTGTCATAGGATCCGAAGCATACTGGGACAATTGTCATCAAGAGTAATAGAGAAAGCTTCAATATTTTGTCTAACCCTAAAACTGAAATCCTGTTAAAAACATGGACACTTGGTGACTTGGCACCATTCTTGAAAACTGATGCTGTGATCTGAACATGTACTTTTATTTCCATTTGGAATGTGCGTTCCACGTGTTCAGAGATGACTGTATGAAATTATGACATGGAATAAAATGAATGAGCATCTTCTTTTCGTGGACTTAAATGGCTTCTTATGTCAGCAACTCTAAGCATAGGCAATTTTTCTGAACAGGCCAGTCCAGACTTCCACTGAAGTTAAACAAACTCCAACTGTTTCTACTTCCAGCGCAACTGGTAAGTAACATTTCTTTTCATTAGTTTTGTTCTAATAACCACTGGTGTGTTCGACGTACAACCGTCACAAACAAAATTAAGTTTTTCTCTTTTGCCATCTGAATTTATTTTGTTGTTTTGTGTCATGGAGCTACGTTCAGATGAAAAACCAACAATAAATTCCCTGTGAGAACCAACCTGAAGCAACAAGTACGCAGTGCTCATCATTGTGTTCACTTTTACTCCGACACTCAAACTGTCTTTAAGTCCGTTAGGTTGTTGAGTCTGTGTCTGCTGCTTGCTCTGCGCTCACGTTACATCGTAAAGAATAAACCACTGGGCATTATTGAGTTGTTCATACTCGCATTTAAAATGCTTCTTAAACTTGTGTGCCAAGTTGTAATTCTAATAAAGAAGTTGAGATATTTAATCAAATGTCGTACTTGTTGCGTTGTTTTTGGTTTCGAAGGAGAATAAAAGACTGACGTTAGATTTTTGGACAAAGTACAGACCAGAGCGGGCGGAAGATCAACGACACAAAGAATTACAGCTGGAACTTTTGCTTTTATGAACAACAATGAGTTTATTGTTTAGTCTTGTGGTGCAGGAGGGATGATGCCCCCACCCCACCAGGGAGGGGTAATGCTAGGGGAAACGCTGCAAGGAGTGACCACTGGTTAAGATGAATAAAAACTGGCTGTAACTCTCCTGTTACGTTGCAAACTGACCCATTTAAAGTTTAAAAAAAAAAAAAATAGTTACAAGTAGTTTTTTTCCTTCATGAAACTTCTGCTTGGCTTCATAAGTATAATAAACATATAAAATGAAAATGGTTCATTTTACATACAGTAGTCTGTCGTTTATCGGGATTGTTCTGTGTGTACCCCCCCCCCCCCCCAATATAAGTGAAAAACCATGAAGTAGAGAGACAGTAGTCCAAGTTCAAGTTCAGTCCAAGTTCAGTAAAGTTTGTCATGATGTGTCAGGCTGTAATCACTCATCACCTGTTCCTTCCAACCTCCCTCCTTAAATGAACCATTTAAATTTAAATACTGTAACTTTTTTAATAAACAATCCATGCTGCGTGGATTGTTTATTAAAAAAGTTACAGTATTTAAATTATTAAAAAAGTTACAGTAT